TCGTCGGTGCGGGAAGCTGCCCGGCGCGCTCCTCCGCTGCCCGACGGTCAGGGGCGAGACGGTGCAGCCCGAGGGGGAGCACAGGTTACCCCGTAGCACGGCGACAGTCACGCTGCCTGCTGGAAACGGGTGTCACGCCCAGACTTGCAGCCAAACAAGGGCGTTTTGGGTCTCTCGGTGGCGGCGTATTTTCCTTTTGAAGGCTAAGTTAATGATTAGTAGTTAAAGGCCGTGGCTGTGTGTCTTGCGCAAACGGCAGGTTGCTTTCAAGAACTTCCAAGGCTTTCTGGCTAGCTCAACTTAAAGCGTGTGTTTGTCTTGATTAATTCTGTTACATGCCCGGTTAGGGTTTGCCTTCCTGGCCTGAAGTTTTTGCTTTCTTGCTTTACAGTATGAAAACCCCTGGACGATCCCAAATATACTGTCAATGGCAAGAATGGGTTTGGCGCCAGTTTTAGGCTATTTGATTGTTGAAGAAAATTTCAGTGTTGCACTAGGTGTCTTTGTTTTGGCTGGCGTAACGGATTTGGTATGTTTACATCAGTTTGGAAATACTTTGGGGATAGCGTGGGTTGCAGCGATCCCATTAACATGCGCTGAAATTTAGACTCCAATGTAGAATGGAAATGAATAAACAGATTAGTTTTTATATTCATTGTTTTGTAGAAATGGTATATATGTCCTTTGTGACATTGTGAAGGGAGCTCGGAGATAGCCAGTGCTGGTGGAGCAAAGGGGATATCGGGGTTCCCTGACCAGCCCCAGGTGGGCATTGTCCAGTCAGTGCTTATACATCTAGTGGTCCGTTACCATATGCAGGTGTACCCGGTGCACCCATCATGACAATAATTGTGTGAATTTTAGAACATCAGTTACCTTTTTCCCTTTTTTTTTTTTTTTTTTTTTAAATGAGAATTGAGTATGTTCAGAGGGCTCCAGAATCTGGAATGTAATGTGAAAAAAGCATGATAGAAATATCAGCTAACAGGTCTTATGTTTCATCTTAGTTAAACTAGCTGTGTTATGTGATGTTGTTCATTAAATATCTCTGTAACAGTAGCATATATAAGCTATTTTTATTCTTAGTGTTCTAACAGAGAAACATTGAACTTTGTTTTTCCTAGTTGGATGGATTTATTGCACGAAACTGGGCTAATCAGAAATCAGCTTTGGGAAGTGCTCTTGATCCTCTGGCCGATAAAATTCTCATCAGTGTGCTCTATGTAAGCCTAACTTGCACAAATCTAATCCCAGGTGAGAAAATGTCATTGCTTGCATGTACTATATAAGGTAAAGAAGCTAATTTTATGTATAGTAGTATTTGTTGTGGTTCTGGAAGGAAAACTGTATTGCTTAGAGCTCTTGCTTTGTCAGTTGCACTTTGCTATTTGCTCCTATTAAATACTTGAAAAACACCCCCCCCAATAGACCTCACAAAAAGCATGTGCTGCCGTATCCAAAAATAACTAGCATATACTGCCATTTTCAAATGTACTTTCTTAAAAGCTATAATAGTTAGTAGCTATATCAAAAACTTTCTCATAGACTGGATTATTTTAAGACTTCAGATTAAATCCTTTCAAGAAGTCATGTTAAAAATCTTCAGTCATGCATAAAACTTGTTCAGAAGAAGTTGAGAGTGGTTATTTCTTCTTGTTTCATATTTTGTGCTCTTTTGTTTTGGTTTTAATCATGGACGTGATTTTTCACTAGATCCTGTTGGCTTGGTTTTTCAGTTTCACTTACTTCCATGATCATTCTGAGGGATGTAGCGCTCATTGCTGCTGTTTTTTATGTGCGATACAAAACTCTTTCTCCACCGGTAAGTGTATAGTGTTAAACAAAATTGTATGAACGTGTAATCATTTTATTTTGATTAAATCTTCTGTATTTTTACAAGTATAAAAAAAGTTAATAAGCCTTTAACAAAGTTGTAACCGAGAGATTTTCATCTTGAGACTTGATGGTTGCTCAAAACTTGGGTGGATAGCCTAAGATGTAATGCTGTGCTTTTGCCAGATGGATCTGTAAGCAGAACAGTACTTCATAAAATAGGTTTCATAAAGATGAGTCGGAGCTACTGATGACTTTTTTTTTTCCTGTGTATGATGTGTAATAAATCATATAAGAGCAGCAGCAGCAGTATAACTCTTTAGTGCTACAATTGACTTTACTTCTCTATCATGCCAAGAAGTATATCAAACTGAATATACTGGAATTGCCTTTTTTTGTTCTTTTTTCTCCCCCAACAGAGAACACTCAGTAGGTATTTTAACCCTTGTTATGCTACTGCCCAATTAAAACCAACATTCATTAGCAAGGTAAGAGTAGTCACTTGTTACAAAAGATAACTCCTCAGTACTTGGGGTGGTGTGTGGTTAGGAGGGAGGGGGCTGTTTACTACTACTACTACTGAGTGCAGTTTTGAAATAGTGCCAACTAATTTGGAGGCAACTTACATCCTGAAAGATTTTCAACTGTACTCTGTCAGAGCACATGCTAATTCTGTGTGTGTAAGATGCTTCATTAAAAGAGGCTTCTAAATAAACTTTCTGTATATAGACTAATACTTAAACCAGTAATAAAAGTGTATATTGGTATTCCTTGCATAGTACACGTCTTCATTTTGACCACATTTCCTATTTTGCTTTTACCAGATGAATACAGCGGTTCAGCTAATTTTGGTGGCAGCTTCTTTAGCAGCTCCTGTTTTCAATTATGTGGACAGCATATATCTGCAGACATTATGGTAACTTTTAACTTTTTTTCAGATAATTTAATGTACTCCTAAAGGAACTGGTAATTGAGATTTTTGTGGAACAAAAAAACCTGTGCCCAGATGATGTAATAGACCCATATGCCTGAATTTTTACGTTTGTTTATTAACTGACACAGGAGCTAGATTTTTATTGGTACTTAATTTACTATACAAGCAAAAAGTAGTCAAATGAAACTAGTTAAGATCCAGGAATAATAGCTAAGAAGTCTTCAGAATAGACATGGTGTATGCAGGCAAAGTGTAAATTCAGATTAATAGAAGAGAAGGGAGTGGGAAGAAAGGCTGTTTGGGTCCTTTATTCATGCCATAAGTGTCCTTGAAAAAGCAACCTTCATTTCAGTAAAAATAGATGGGAAGTGTTTTCTTATTGTTGCTTTATACTGTATCTGCTATCTTGAAATCCAGGTTTCTGAAGCCTCTTTGAAAAGCACCTGAAGAAATTGGTGATTCCTGCTAGACTGTAGGAAGGAAGGGGAGGGATCGAATGAAAACAGGCATGCAGGAGCATGCCCCCTTACATAATGGCTGTTCCTTTCACTGTTGTCATTGGAGACCTGAACTGAATCTGAATTGTAGCTGATGGCAGGTGTTACAAGTGCAGTTATTTCTCCTGAGCAGTTAGGTAAGAGTTCAGAACAAAGAGGCTGAACGGCAGATAGCGGAATTACGTAGTAACTTAGTTTAAAGTAGTGGAAAATCCAGTGTTACCAGTTTTTTAGAGGGGGGAAAAAAACCAAACCACCAAACGCAAAACCCAAGCTTTTAAGGAACTAGGAACCTTAATCTTAACAGTCAACGTGATTTTTCATCCTGTTGGAAAGCCAAATCTGGAACTGCATCTGTGAAAGACATTACCTTGCTGCTTGTCTGGGACTCTATGAGAGAGTTACTATGTTGTGAGGAATGGAGGAATGCAGGGTGCAACGTACCAGGGTCCTCTATAAACACTCTCAGAAATGACCTGACTCTGGTAATGTGTCCAGGGAGGGCAGCAGTAACGGAGGGGCAGGACTGTAGCGATGGCTCACACCTGAATGGTGTCAGCCTTGGACATGGAGGAGCGCTGCTAATTTAGAAACATATATGGTTATTACCCAGCTTCTGGGAAGGGAACAAAAGAGGCTGAAGCCGAAACGTGCTTTAGCTTTGGAACTTCGTAAAATGATAAGTTCAAGTCTTGTATGATTTGAACGCTCCCCTTTCGTACTACCAAGGGATAGTTTCTCATATCAGTCAGTTCTCAAGCTGGTAAAAATTACGTAGACTACAAATACTGAATCTTTTGTCTTCCCTTCTCTAGAACAAGTGCTAATACGGTAAAAATGTGGCATAGCGTGCAGTTAAACAGAAGCGTGCTACGTAGTGCTGGATGGCAGTTCCTTTGTTTATCTAATCCGCCACTTAGCGCTGAATTGCAGCATATAAACTGTAAACGGCATTTCTGTAGGACGTAGTCCTTGACTGTGTAGTGAAAAATAGAAAAGACGCTTAAAAATAACACTTTTTATTATCGTACTTAGACTCGGATGACTTACAGGAACTATTTTCCCCAAAGGTGCATCACAGCTTTCACAACGGTAACATCTGCATACAGCTATTACCACTATGGCCGGAAAACGGTTCAGGTGATAAATAACAAATGAATTATTCCTGAAAGGGCGGGGTCTTGGCAGCATGGTGTGCTGTACTGCCGAAGATGGTCATAATGCAGCTGAGTTTTGGATCAAGAACTCTGTTTTTCTGCTTAAACCATGGCATCACAATGAAGTGAAGTTTGAACATGTACTGTGTGTATATATATATATAGAGACTTTTCAATGTATTTTTAATTTGTTTAAAAATGAGATTGTTTACAAAAACTAATAAATAATATTCTTAAAGACATAGGTTACTGGTTGCTGCCATGTGCATTCTGAATAATTTTATACTGGTTTTGAAGTCAAAATAGGCACTTTTCACCAGCTTTTTTGCCACCGTCATGCAAGGCACTGAGTAGGCTGAGATCTGAGAAGAAAAAGCAATTATAAGAACAAATTTGTCTTTGTGCCTCAACCTAAGTCAGCAAACCAGCATTGCTCATTAGGACTTAATGACGTATGTCAGCTTGCAGCAGAAGAAAGCACGTTGTCAAGGAACAGTATCTTCAGAAATTTAAACCAGAGTGATAGACATTTTACTTCGTATTCCGTGGTGACGCGGATAAGCCATGAAGAGTTTCTACCCTGCTCCCTTTTCTTTTTAAATACAAGCGACAGTGAACTGTACCCATGGGAGGAGAGCTTTGAGTCTCAGAAGGGTCAGCTGTGCAGTGAGGAGTCTGTACCCAAATGGAATTGTTTCTCATACTAGAAATTATTCTAGTGATCAAAAGAAACTCTGCTGTATCTCCAGCTTCTTTAAAGCTTCTAAAGATGCTGTTTAGTCTAAATACCATGGGAGAAAAAGGACGTTTTAAATACTGTCCAAATGAACGGAGAGAGTGGAAGAAACTTTCAGATGCACGTACTGTTAATGATTCCTGTGCCGCTAGCTGCAAGAGGTACGCCATGATCCCCCTCAGGCAAGGACAACTTGCACGTGTTCTTTGCCTGTTCTCTACTCACAACAAGATGCAGAGTAAAGCACTAGGCAGAACAGATCGTGTTGATCACAAACTTATGTTTTCTATTTTCGAGCAACATGTGATTTCATGTATGTTGTGAAAAAGAGTGCAACTATGAAGGGCTTAAATAATTGAAACTGGGTGGTCTATGATGCCACTGTAGTATTCACAGAAGAAAATTTGCTGTAGACGTCTCTTTTGAGAGCATGCAGTCTCTTGTGACTGCATATGCTTGTATATACAAAGCATTTTAGTATTTTTTTATATTTAAACTTGTATAGAATGGTGCACAGAGAAAACACTTGATTTTTATTAGTACCTTTTTCTTAACTGTCCCTGCATTTTGTGGTCTACCCTGCATCTTACAGCAGGGGGACGGAGAGCAAAGCCTATGGAAGCTTCCTTTAAATATCTGGGTATTTAGTAAAATGGAGTACTTTTTCTTGACGAAACAGTTTAGAAAGCAGAAATTTATTGTACCCAGTCAGGTTGTTCCTCGTTGGTTCTGGTTAATGGGATTGGGGTTTGGTTGGGGGGTTTTTGCGTTTGGGTTTTTTTGTTTGTTTTTTTCTGTCTCTTTTAATCACAGATACCTTTGAAACATTGCATGAAATCGTCAGGGAAGGGAAGAACACTGGTCAGTGAAGGCTCCATGTTGGTGTGTGTCATTACAGTTGTTGCTGCCTGTGTTGGTAATAACTTAAGTGTACAATTACTGGGTGGTACCTGCCTAAATACTCGTGTTAAATAAAATTCGTCTGGATGGTAGAGCCGCTGCTTTTTCCACGTGCGTGTTTGGTACTTGAGAGTTACGGTTACCTTGCTGAGAGCACAGTCCATCGTACCCCTGTGAGAAAACTCGGTACCGAAACAGTTTAGAAAGCAGAAATTTATTGTACCCAGTCAGGTTGTTCCTCGTTGGTTCTGGTTAATGGGATTGGGGTTTGGTTGGGGGGTTTTTGCGTTTGGGTTTTTTTGTTTGTTTTTTTCTGTCTCTTTTAATCACAGATACCTTTGAAACATTGCATGAAATCGTCAGGGAAGGGAAGAACACTGGTCAGTGAAGGCTCCATGTTGGTGTGTGTCATTACAGTTGTTGCTGCCTGTGTTGGTAATAACTTAAGTGTACAATTACTGGGTGGTACCTGCCTAAATACTCGTGTTAAATAAAATTCGTCTGGATGGTAGAGCCGCTGCTTTTTCCACGTGCGTGTGTTTGGTACTAGAGTTACGGTTACCTTGCTGAGAGCACAGTCCATCGTACCCCTGTGAGAAAACTCGGTATACGCGTGGGGGGG